GCCAGCACTGTCTCTGCCCGCCCGCCCGCCCTGTGCCCTTGCTCGGGCCCTCCTCTCAGTCTCCAGATTCCCAGAAAATGAGATCATCCCCAGTTCCCTCTCCGCTTGAACAACTCATGCTTATTTTGTTTAACTGAGATTATTAATGATTTAATGGTAGGGGGAACCTCAGCCTATACTGAACTAGATTGAAAAGTTATTTTGAAATCTTCAAAATTTCTGAGTTTGCTAACTCAGTTATCAGCAGCGTGCTGAAAATGGAAGAAATAATATGGATTGGAGCAGAATCCCAGTTGACCCTACACTTGTTTTGAAAGAAAAAAAAAAACCCTGACTTAATATATTTGCTTGTTTTTTTTTAAAAGAAATATACAGGGAGAAGGAAAATATCCTGTATTTTGGCTTTCTGGTTATTAAAGTACAAGCCCATTTATTAAAAATCCAAAAATAGTAGGCTGCTCTCTCTCTAGGTGTTGAAATAAAAATCCAAATGACAGTTGAGAAAATATAAATATGAATCAGATGTGGACCTTGCTCTTAATAAGCTTGTTTTTTTGGCAGGGAGAACCCAGCTGGAGAAGATGCTGAAAAATAATTAACTATAAGATACCAAGCAAGTTAACATGCAAAAGAATGAAAAGTGAAATTCCGCACAGTAGCAGAGGTTTTCTAAGAGAGTATATAGACGTGGCTCTCCAGGAAGCCTTGCACAAAGAACAGCTCACAAGGTGGGGGCATGGTGGCCAGGACAGGAGGAGGTAGGCTGGGTGCAGAGCTTTGGGTGCTAGGTGCTGGCTGAGGTAAGGCACAACAGCCACTAGGAACTAGGGATCTGAGTGCAGCTTTTGCTGCTACATTAATTCAAACCATATTTGATGCCCTTCAGTTCGCCCTCCCTTTCCGCTACTAGCATTCTTCTAGTTTTTCTGTGATCTCTTTCAGCCTTCTGCCTGAGCGATTGCTGAAAGTTGGAAAAGTGCTCTTCCTTATGTCCCCTTTGAGTCTGGAACTTTAGATCATTTAAGACCATGCGCCATTGTGAATTAAGATGCATGGAAAGTTTCTGTGCTAATTAGTAAGCTCTTAGGATGTGGGAGTAGGCTGGGACTTTGGTTATTATCTGGAATTTTTGTATTTTGTAAACATGGATTGAGAGTTCAATTGGATTGGTTAGAACCAGCTGTTTGGGGAATAGAATAGAAAAGACAACATCTGCGTGTACTAAGGATATTTTCCAACATCCAAGATCTATTCAATGTGTAGAACATATTTCTTACAGGTGGCTATAGTTTAAAGGCATAAAGACTACTTTAGAACAGAGCCCCCTTTCCAGGGGAGGCAGGGCTAGGGGGAGACCCCTGGCAGAGACCCGCAGGCTGGAACCCTGGGATCTTCTTCCACCCTGTTCTTATTTCACGCGTTCCGGCTCCAGAACTTCCTCCATCTCACCTCAGTCTCTCACCTCCTTCAGGATCCCCAAACAACCTGCTTATGGCCATTCTAGCCATTATCTCGGAGAAGGCCAGCCCTTCTCACAGAAGGTTTTAAGAATTAATATAGGCAAGTGTGATGCTCGTATGCATGTTTAGAGGTGGCTGGTCTCTTCCCTGGAGAAGATAGGGTTATGCAGTCAGGTGTTTGGGTGGCCCCCCACTTTGACCTCTTCCCTGAAAGCCTAGCCATAGCCTTTATTACTCCTCCTCCTCCTTTTGTGTGGTGTGTTGTATAGCTATTTGCAAGTTGCTTTATTTCATCCAGGTATAGTGAAAGGCACTGGCAGCTGGACCTTTGATGTAGGTCTTCTCAAGCCCTACAGGACCCCGGGGAGGACGTGTGAGGTCACTTGCCCCAGCTAATCTTCTTCCAGAAGCCAGCGGCGGCTGTCTGGAGGAACTAGTGCTGGAGTCCACGCCGTTGATCCTCAGCCCAGTGCGTCCTGCCTCCATTTTCCCCATCCTAATAAATCAGCGTGGCCACAACGGACTCTCGGGAGTAATCTGTATTATGGAGCAAAGCACATGGCAGATTCTAATTGATGCCCTTATCTGAGCCAGGAGGTGCCCAGCGTTGCTCTTTAAATAAAGGACAGGTGGCACAAGGCAAGAGGCAGCCGGGCCACACGTGATGTGTGCCGTGTGCACTGTTTATTGCCAGGTGCCCTCTGCTCTTTGGGGAGATTACCCATGGGGAGATTACCCATGGTTAATCACAGGTGTTCGGGGAGCCCCATGGTTAATGAGCAGCACTGGAGTCCCGAGAACACCCTGTTCTCCCCCTGAGCAAAGGCTTGACTGCAGCCTGGCACTCTGACTCACCTCCTACCCGCCGCAGCGCCACCACTCGTTCCATGTGGCTTCACTTGGCACTAGCGAGTGAGGCCACTTCCTGTTGCCTCAGGAACCTTGGCCTTCTGTAGCCCAGTGTAGATTGTGCAGTCGTTTCCTAGTAATGTGTTTTATGTGCATTGCATCCGGATCCAACAATGCTTATGTTTTAATGCTTTTCTATCATTTCTCAGAAAATAAACTTACCACTCCTTGGAAGAGGGCCTCTCTTCTGAGCGCTGATTATAGAATTAGATCCTGAGCATTGTACTGAGAGGTGGGCGGTGGGGAGGGGGCAGTCAGTGTGGGCTGAGAAAAGAGGACTGGGAGCAGATGCAGGCAGCATCTCCTCACTGACCTGGGATTGTAACCAGCCTCAGCCCTGACCCAGGCAGCTCAGGACCACCATAGACCAATGCCGTGTGCATGACAACACTTTGTTGGGCTAAAAAGAACTCCCACAGTGTACACAATCTCTCCTATGAAGTTTCGAATGCACTCTTTGCATCCTCCAGAAGATGTCAGTGTGTGACTGTTTGCCTCTGCATTCCAGCCTCGGGGCTGGTGGACTGCGTGATGCGCCAGGAGCCCTCCTCCTCAGGAAGCCAAGGAGGCCAGACCCAGCTACAGATGAGTGAGCAGTTCATTTCCGAGGAAGAAGCCCAGGAGCTGAGACAGGTGATGTCCGCTGTTCACGGTGACATGCCAGTGCTGATGTGACTTTCTGTTCTCCCCATAGCAACTCCTTTCTCTCTCCTGCTGGAAAACAAACCCTCCATTTGAGGCTTGACTCTCCCCTCAAGGGAGTGCTTGAACGCCTGCCTGGAGTGCTGTGCTCCCTATAGCTGGGCAAAGGAGAGACAGGGCAGTGCCGCATGCCGAGTGTGTGAGCGGCAGGGAGGACGGTATGTGCCTTCCACACCAGTCCTCAGGCTGGGCTTCCTGCAGAGGCAGACCTAACACTTCTTACTGAGAAAGTTGAAATTTAAACAATATTTGACACAAATCCTTTCAACTTGTTTTCTGTATGATTATTGTAATAGGTAATGGCGGCGTCTTTTTATCTTTAAAATACGTTTTGAAGCACATAGCTAGGTGTCATATAATTTCATTCATAAATACTTTAGTATGTATGTATCTCCAGAAGGTATGAACTATTCAAAATGAAACCCTACTACACAATCACAAAAGTCCCTTGGTATCATCAAATAACAAAGGAGCTCTCAGATGTCCCAGCCATCTCAAAACAAACAAGCCAAAAATCACACAAAAAGTTGGTTTGCTCAAATCTGGATCCTAGCTAGCATAGTTAGTGATTTGCACTGGGCTGAAATGCCTTTTAATATGCAGGTCCCCCTCACCTCCTTTTATTCCCCCACCCCCACCCCCGACCTCCCCCAATAGATTTGTTGAAAGAATGAAGTTGAGTGTTCATTTGAGGTTGGCAGGGTGGGCCTCCCAGCCTGCTTCCCCGTGGTGCAGGCAGTGTGCACTCTGCCCATGCCCCTTAATGGGTGGGGGGATCGGAGGCTCAGCAGGGCCCCAGGCTTCGTTTTATGGATCATACTGCACCTTTCATCAGGAGGAATGTAAAGCCTGTGTACCTTTTAAACCTGTTTTTCAAAATAGTTCTTATTACATGAGTCTGCATACACACAAATTCCATTGAGCTCAAGTCTTCCCCTTGATAGGGGTGGGGTGGGGCGGAGGGCAGTGTCATTACATTGAGATATTTTAAATATGTATCATTTGTCACTTAACAATCCAACTATTCATTGTGAATTGAGTCAAGGTTTGCAGAGTAAGTTAGTGTACGTACATTTATATAGAGTAAATTAGTTAATACACATGTAGCTTCATATTGTTGACTACAATCCCCAGAATGTAACATCATTTACCCTTCTTCTACCTGGGTCTTCTGTTTTCTGCTGCTCTTTCTTTGCCAGCCCTTGTGAAGTTTGTCTTTGCTTCAGTGCTTCTTCCCCTTGAGCACAGTGTGCTCTCAGACTTGTACATTGTCTGGGTAAACAATTGAGCCCAGGGCTTTTATTTCTAGCCCAAAGGGTGACTGAGGGCCATAATCTTAAAGGTTCCATCAGTCTCTATCTGGCCAGGAAGCCTGGTCTTTTTTCAAAAGATGTTTTTGTGCCCTGGTTTTCTCACACTCAACCCAGAGGACCTTCTAACGTGATCCCTTTCAGAACAGCTGACAGTGGTGGCCAGGCACCATTTCGTTCTTCTGGTCATGAGGTTATAGAGACTGATGTTTGTGTGGTCCATTAGCCCATTGGACTGATGGGTTCCATTCATCTTTGATTTTCATTGCTCTTTTTCCTCCAGACACGGAGAGGTTGATATTGTTATACCTTACATAACAACTCATGAGCCTTTATGAGTTCAGTCACTACTCACCTAAGTAAGATGTAGAGCATTGGCTTTGTGGAGTGTCTTATTACATTTTCACTTTTTTGTGAGTCTCTTTACTAATGACAGGACACACAAAGCACTGCTTTCTAACTGTAACTAGCAAATCCTGCAAACTGCTCATCATCCACTTAAGCCCCTGGTATCAGCTCCTCGTTTTTTCCCCTCGTTCCCCGCTCCTCCTCCCTCATGAACCATTGATAATTTATAGATTATTATTTTGTCATATCTTGCCCTGTCCGATGTCTCCCTTCACCCACTTTTCTGTTGTCTGTCCCCCGGGGAGGAGGTCACATGTAGTTCCTTGTAATCGGTTCCCCCTTTCCAACCCACCCTCCCTTTACCCTCCCAGTATCGCCACTAACACCACTGGTCCTAAAGGGATCATCTGCCCTGGATTCCCTGTGTGTCCAGTTCCTATCTGTACCAGTGTATATGCTCTGGTCTAACCAGATTTGCAAGGTAGAATTCGGATCATGATAGTGGGGGAGGGGAGGAAGCATTTAGGAACTAGAGGAAAGTTGTATTTTACATCGTTGCTATATTGCACCCTGACTGGCTCAAAGCATTTTCTTCCTACCTAAGCCCTTGATATCAGCTCCTCATTTCCCCCCCCTCCCCTGCCCTCCCTCCCTCCTTCATGAACCCTTGATAAGTTATAGATTATTATTTTCATATCTTACATCATCCTCTGTCACCCTTTGCCCACTTTTCCATTGTTTGTCCTCCTGGGAGGGGTTTATAGGTTGATCCTTGTGATCTATTCCCCCTTTCTCCGGCCACTTTCCCCTAATCCTCCTGGTATCTCTAGTCTCATTGTTGGCCCTGGGGGGTTTATCTATCCTGGATTCCCTGTGTTTCCGGCTCTTATCTGTAGCAGTGTGTATGTTTTGGTCTAATCTGATTTGTAAGGTAAAATTGAAGTCATGATAGTGGGGGGCCCATTTAGCAATTTTTATATCACTTTTCTGTGACATTTTTTACATTTTTCATACAATGTCAGCATTCCATCTTTTCTGTTTCCATTAGTGTAGTCCCCTGCCCCTCATTGCTCTCTCATCTTTGCTCCTGGGTAAATGGTGACTTACTTGGTTTACTTGTGAACTCATACTGAGATCAGATAGTCTACGACAGCCTTATAATTTCCAAACACCAGTCTCCACTACTATGTGTGAATATGCCCTTCCTGCCCCTGAAAGCCAGCGATGGGGCAGGCAGGTGCCAGGATGCATACACAAACAACTGAATAGAATTGGGCTCTACAATGACCACACCAGGCACCTTCTTTTCCTGTGAGAGCACAATGACTTGTCACCAAGTATGTCATGAGTCCTACAGCGTTTGATGCTGGGAACAACACTCCATGAGGTTGAGAAGTGGAACCTCATCCTCCCTAGGAAGTAGTATGGCTGCAAGCCCCAGGAGGAAGCATTGGCCCCTCAATAATGGATTTGGGAAGAGCTCCTAGGGTAGGTGTGAAGGAGGCACGGCATTCTTGTCAGCCAATTCCTCTTCCTTCCTCGTAGGAAGAACCTAGTTTCACAAGCGGTTGTATTTCTGAGGCACAAACACAAACACTTCATAGCTAAAGAAGAATGCTTAGTGAGCAATCGAAGCTCAAGCATAGGGAGGAATGAGTTAAATTTCTGGGCAAACAAAAATGCAAGGAAATTCTCTTCCATTCAGCTGTGGTTTTTGTGGCAAATGCTATTAAAGTCATTATGTTGAAATGCGATGTCTCCACGATTTTAAATTGCAATTGGGAGTGTTAAGTGAGAAGATTTGCTGTGATTTCACTGGGGACGCCCATGCTCAGTGCAGTGTGCTGTGGTCTCCTGGGCTGAGCCTCAGGGTCCACAGAATACAGGCAGAACTCCTCTGGGCTGTGGTCAGGCCCCGTCTACGTCTGCTGCTGCGGCGCTGGCCTTCCCCTGTCACTGGAGGTGGGCGGGCAGATGGGAAAGGAGGCTGGGAGAGGAGTCAGATTCATTGGAATGGGTTTGGCAGAGTCTCTTGAATCATTCCTGTGTCTGATGTGTTAAACTTTTCCTGCCTCAGAACGACTGCTCTTTTGTTTACTGAATCTGTGGACACCACATATTTGATACAGAGTTAGAATTGAAAAGGATAAATGGCACTTGACTTTTCCCTAAGGGAATTTCAGTTTTCTATAAAGTTTCTGCAGAACCTTCTAATCTCCATTGGTCTGTCTTTCCTGCGTTTGGTGTTTCTTTATCCTGCCTACCCCCTTTCACCAAGCAGGCACTGGATGAGAGAATAGTATGGGCTACTCCAGTGGTTTATCAGGCGTGAACAAAGATGGGTAGGCAAGGAAAGCTCACAGAACCACACCGCCCAGGCCTGGACGTCAGTTGGGCAAAAACCCTTAACGAACCTCCCAACAATCTAGAAGCAGCGAGACTCTCCAGTTTTCCATAGATGGCTGCTAAATGTCCTTCCTGATTCTCAACAGAAAAGGGCACCCAATGACCTGTGGCAATAAGTATGCATGGATACATAGAAGACTTTTAGGTCATGGATCATTTTTCGGTCTGTCTTCCCTTTCTGCTTGGTCACATTAGCACACTTATACACATGTATACAATACCTTTATAAACAATAAGCACAAGAATTAAAAGAAAAATTTAACTGACTCATTCAGCTCAATCAAAGTCTCACAGTTCACTGAGAAAGTTAGCAAGCTAGTTGAGCAGTGTTATGAAGAAAAACTAATTGGGAAAGCTGCACTTCCTGGGGCTCATCTTGGGGAGGAACTGCCTCTGTCCTCACTTACCATCAGGGGAAGGGCAGGGGCTGAGACCTATAGAGTACTCAAGTTGGGGAGTTTTGTTTGTTTGTTTTGGTCTTTGTATATAAATCCTAACTCCTGGCCTAGCAGAGCCAAGTTCCACATGTGCTTGCCCTGGCAGTTAACTGGAATTTTCCTGGAATGATTCTAGGACAGAAGGAATGATGGGGTTTTCTACTGGTTGTGAAACTATCTTTGAGAAAAAACGAATGTCCATAGTCTGAGAACTACAGAACATATTTCATCCTCTTCAGTAACCCTACCTTCCTGGTCCAGTTTTCCCTGCTCCAGTTTCCTGGTATCTCTAATGTAGCATTATCTTAATTCACCCATCTCCTCTCCTAGTAGGAAGGAGCAAAGCAACTGTTTCTTCTTGCCTATTTAATTCCTGTAAAATAATTGAATGTAACAAGTATCCTTCAGCCAGAACTGTTTGTTTGGTGGG